AACTTTGAATTAATTAAAAACAGATTGAGTTAATAAATCTTCACGCGGATACGATCACGTGATAACGTGAACGAATTCTTATGTGCCTCACTCGACACATTATTTAGAAAGATTTCAAGCAACACATGAAAGTGTTAAATCATATTGGGTATACTAATATCGAAATTCTTGGCTGGCACATAAATATGCAGAATAATTATGCAGTACGATCACTGATCACATTGGTAGAAATGTTTACTTTTGTTATCGTAAATATAAGTCTTAGATTCTTTATACTCGATCAATTTATCTACAACATGGTTCTTAGGACTTTTTGTATCGTTTATTTTGAAAATCGAAATAAAAAAAAATTTAGAAAGTTAACTTAATTGTTAATTATCAAAAAAACAAAAAATTTATAAAATGAAAAACGAGTTCAAACGTTTTCAAAGAAATTGGGTACGAACTCCTTCAAACACAGCAAAGCCTTTGATTTATATTTTAACACAAAAGAAAATATTTTTAGCTTTGATACTTACTAGCGTATTTTGGATTTCATTGGATTTTTTGTTTTTGCTTCATAAACAAGCTCCCATTGTTGATGTTGATGTGTTCGTGATAAATCGACAAAAGAAAGAAAAACCATACACATTTATTCCTCCGCAAAGACCAAAAGATTTTCCCTTAACAATATTGAAAAAAATTATTATAAATGAAACAGAGAAAGAAAAAGAGAAAATTCGTAAATCTAGGCTAGGTCAATTGGGAATTGAACTTTATCCAGAACTTATTGACCCTCTATTAGGTGCAGGTGGTTACCCCGCAATTCTTCCAGATAACTTAAAAAGTCAATCAAAAAACTTATTTAAAAACCATTCATTTGATTCTTTACTCAGTGATAGGATATCTTTAAACCGTCGATTAGGAAACGTGAAAGGAGATCTGTGAGTTTTATTTTAAGTTTTTTTGTGCTTTTTATTTTAAGTTTTGTGTTTTCTCTAAAGTTTATTCTTTTAAATAGTTGCAGTAGCAAGCAGTATCCTGCGGAACTGCCAAATACAAGTGTTATTATTTGCTTTCACAATGAAGCTACAAGCGCTCTTCTGCGTACTGTCCACAGCGTGATTAATGAGACTCCACCAAATATCTTGTCCAATATTGTTCTTGTAGATGATGCAAGTGTTGGTAATTTAATATAACAAATAATCTTTTTCTTTGAAAATTTTGCTTTATCTATTTTTATTACACGAATTTTCGTCTTAATTTTTTGTCATTAATACATTTTATACTTTAACACAATTTATTCAAGAAATTTTTTCTTTAGAGCAGTTTTTTCTTCAGAGCAGTTGACAATATTAAAGCAAAAATAAATAAAAATAGAAAATGATAAAATATTTTGAGTGTAACTTTTAACACAAAACCCTCCTTTTTTCCTCACACAAACACGCACCTTGATTAGTTCTAAAATTTAATTTTTTTTTTTTCATTAGAATATTGTATCATAACAATGCTTTCACATTTTTAAATTAAACATTGTTTATTACTGAAAAAAGGCATGATATTACATCACAAATTTATTTTCAGGAGCAGCTTTAAAAAAACCTTTGCGAAATTATATAAATGAACTTAACAGAAAACTTGGAGAAGAAATGGTCATACTATACCGAAATGCTAAGAGACAAGGTTTAGTCAGATCTCGTTTAAAAGGAGCAGAACTAGCATCAGGTACGGTTCTTACCTTTTTAGATTCTCATTGCGAAGCAACTGAAGGTTGGGTAGAACCATTGTTGTTCAGAATAAAGGAAGATAAAAGAAATGTTGTGTGCCCAGTGATTGAGGTTTATAATATTATATATTATGTTTAAATTAATAATTTATTCATAATTGCATTTTGAAAAATTAACATAATTATACTAATTAATATTAATTCAATCTGTAGCTATTTTTTTTTTACTTTCTATTTTATATCTTATTTTATACAGTTAATAGTGCACAAATATTTTAAAATTGTAACGGTTGTTAGAGTTTTTGTTTAAGTTGAAGTCACAATATGTTAAAATAAAGTTTAACACTATTAAAAAATGTTTACAGTTTGCGTACTAACAATATAAACTAGGTTTCCAAAAGAAGATAATCAAAATCTTAAAATGTAAATAAACATATATAACTATGATATATACATTAGTAATTTAATTATATTGTAGAATATTATTTGGAAGAAGCCTTATATTATATCTATGCGGTGCGGTGCTCGATAGAAAAAACAAAACTGATTAAGACTTGTGACTAAAGAGTTCATTAAAAATATATACATTTTTCAAAATGTATTTGTTGCTGGGTTTTGATTTTGAAATAAAGAAATATTTTAAGATTGTGGAGGAAGGGAGGAAGGGAGGAAGGATGGGGGAAGAAAGGGGGAGGGAGGGGAGGAAAGTATAAATCGTTTTTTCTGATGTTTTGAGAACACAAAGTTTCCAGATCTTACATAAGTTCTCATTGCAAGATAAAATTCCAAATGTTATACATTATATATATATATATATATATATATATATATATATATATATATATATATATATATATATATATATATATATATATATATATATATATATATATATATATATATAGTCGCATGAGAATTACAGGGTTTTTTCTGCCTTGTTTTATGTTGAAAGAATTTAACAATCAAAGTTTTAATTAATAATTAATAATAAAAACAAAACATTAAAAAATGATATATTATATATAATTTTTTAACATTTTTAACAGATAACATAAATAACTTATAATTTATATTTATAATGAATAACATCTGTAAAACATGTATTAAATAAATATTGAAAGTTAAGTTCTCAAAACATAAAAAAAGGCAGATAGAACCCTATAATTCTAATGTGACGATATATATATATATATATATATATATATATATATATATATATATATATATATATATATATATATATATATATATCATTTTGTTATTTTAACTACGGTTAAAATCATTTAATCCTCCTTTGCTATAAGTGCTTTTACTATTTTGTGCATTGGAGAAAAATAAGTAAAAATTGATTATTGGTTTTTTGGAATCAACCTTAAAATCTAAAAGAAAAAAGAATTTTCTAATGTTTATTTTCATTGATAAAATTGAACGAAACTAAATATGAATAGTTGTGTAGGTTATAGATGCTGTCGATTTATCCTACAAAAAAACAGAACTTGATCGCATTACTCAAGTTGGAGGATTTACGTGGGATTTGTTCTTTAACTGGAAAGAAATAACGGAGGATGAAAAACGTTTACGAGCAGATGGAACTCAACCATTAAAGTAAGACATTGGAAGAATGAGTAAGTTTTTGTAAATATTAATATACAGCACGTTTTGCTTGTAGACAACATTTAGTTTAGAATAACAAAATCTTTTTTTAGATTAACGAAGCATTTTTAAATTATATAATCAATAAACTCATCAAGACCTCTAATCTAAAAAAATAGAAAAAAATAAAATAAACTCATCAAGACCTCTAATCTAAAAAAATATCAAAACGAAGTTTAACAACTTCGTTTTCTTCAACTAGAAAAAAATTAGAAATATCTTCAAAATTAAATCTTTAAGACATTATTAAAATCTATATATATATATATATATATATATATATATATATATATATATATATATATATATATATATATATATATATATATATATATATATATATATATATATATATATATATATATATATATATATATATATATATATATATATATATATATTGAATAGTGATTGCGGACAATCTCAAATTCGATCTATAAATAATCGACGGTATGACGTGCAACTCGTAAAAAAAACTTTTCACTTTACATTATTAATTTTAATATATCACATTTTTGACGTCAATGTTTTTTTTACAAATAAGTAAGGAAAGGAGAATTAAAGATTAGTTTTAGTTTAATAAAATAAGTCGACTAACTTTTTAGTACAACTAAAATTATATTTATTTTAAAAAACTACTGCGAAATAAAAAAACACATTTTCACCTTTTTTTTTCAATTAATAAATGTACAATTTATTTTAATTAGATGAGTCATCAAAATGATCTTCAGACTTTTAACTTTATACAGATACTGAATGAGCTGGTTTTGCAGCAGCTTATTTATATAAATTACGTAGTTCAAAGTATCGTATAGATTTTGGTACTTAAGTAAGTACCATAATCTATTTTAAGTACCTTAAGCGAATACTGGAATATTTTAAAAAATAGTTATGCTGGATCAAAACTTTATGTGAATAAACATTTTTTAGGGATCATTACTCATGATTTACATAGATATTTGAGAACACAATTTTTTTTTCTTCTTAAAAACACAGAGGCTTAACAAACTTTAGGCCACCTTTTATTAAAACAATCGGCCGAGTGAATAAAAAAAGCAATTGCTTTTACTTAGTAATTGGTCAGTATTGCGTGAATAAAATCTTCAGGAATTTTGATTAAACTTTTATTCACGTAAAGCTGAACAATTACTCAGCGTTTTTGGCTTAGCTTTACGTGCTCGGTGTAGTTAAGGCAATTTACAAATTATCTGAATTCTTTTATTTGAAATTAGCATGATTTTATCAGGGTATTATGTCCAAACAAGAACTTTAGATGTTATAAGATTTTTTTGCTTCAGGTTTTTTTAATATTTAAAGAAACTTTTCTTTTTTTATATATAACTTTTAAAAACTTTTTACTACCCTTAATAGTGAACCTAGAGCACACCATTTTGGAGTCTTTAGATAACTTTCGCTCATCGGCGTTAACATGAATTTAGTTAAAATCTTTTCAAAAAGTGCCTTAACCCACTGTAAATCCTAATTCTAATCGGTTCTGACGTATATTAACTATATATAGTTGTCAAAATACAATATTTCTATTAATTTTCATAAAAAACACTAGAATTCCGACCAAAAAAAAGCATATAATTAAGAATAATTGCCATTAAAACGATCAGAACAGATCATTTAATTAAAACGTGATGTTCGTTCTACCTAAAAGCGTATTTATTTAAAATCTTTTTCAAATCGTGATTCTAAAAAGACTTTTTTTTAATAAAAGAATCTTCGGTCTGGGTTTTTTTTTTGATACGAACATTAATATTTTATGATATCGCAAAACTTATCGTTTTAATTTTTTTCACATTTTCATAATTCACAGACCTAATCTTTGACGAAATAATATTTCGTACGACAGATTATGTCGTAGTCAATATCTCATACAGACACTTACAGATATTTTAAAATTGCCTTAACTATACTGAGTGAGTACGAATTTGAGCGAGTTTGCTAAAATTTTTATTTAAGTTAAGCTGAGCTATTACTTCCAACACGACCTAATATAACATCAAAGTTATATTAGGCCCGGCCGGCCGGGCCTAATATACCTTTGCTTTACGTAAAAAAAAATAAAAAAAAATAAGTACGCTATTTTTTCAATTTTATTAACGTTTAAATAATAAAATTACAATTTTTTTGAATTTAAATTACAGAAAGATATTTAGTATTTTTTAGAAGTTTATTTAGTATTGTTAAAATATTAATACTTCTTATAATGTTTTGTTTTTATTTAAAAAACAATTAAATCTACTACAATTTCAGGACTTTAAACTTATATATATATATATATATATATATATATATATATATATATATATATATATATATATATATATATATATATATATATATATATATATATATATATATATATATATATACGTACAACAATATATGACGTTGAAACATATATACAGTCATTTTAAGAAATATTAGAAAAATATCATATATTTTTTTTTATAAATCTTTATATTTTGTTCAATGATTTTTCTGAAATTATGTATAAACAATCATTTGTTGTAAATGAGGAATTAATGATGCATAAAACTTGTTCTTCTGTGAGTCAAGAAAAACCTAGACTGATATCATGTGTATGCATAAATTGAATTTAATAATACCTTCCTTTTCGTCTTTTTTGATTGTAATTCCGATCCAAAAGTTATTATTATAAATAACTTGGTGCTACAAAAATTCTTCAAAAGGATTGAGGTCCTTTGAATTACCACCCTAGAGGCCAATGACCTTAATCTTACTTACCATTATCTCATTCTTAATTACCATAATCCCATTCTTACTAAACCAAATGCTTACAAACTTGGCTCAGTGACAAGGTGTCCAAAATATTTGAATAACAATCTGAGCACATTTTTTATTGTTGTTATTTAATTGGGTTTCACCATAATTAATGCTATATTTTTCTGCTAAAATAACAACAAGTTTTTTAAAAAAGAAAAAATTTAGTGCTCAATGTTACCAAAATGAAAGAAAAATGACTTAGATATCAGTACACCATTTGATTTGGTAAAAATAGGTTAAAATGTACATTTTGGTTTTACCCAGTAACTTTGCACCTCATCCTAAAAAATAAATTAAAAGTTTTCTGCAAAGTTATCCAATATTATACACTATTTTTAATTTAATAACTTTTTACAGTCTTTGAGGATCGACTTTAAGTCATATTAATGAGATGTTAATTTATCTATTTTATTACTTTTAAGTTTGATAGTCTACACATTTTTATCTTTTTAATTTTGGAAAAACTCGTTGCTTTTATTTTCCTCGCTCTTCCCAAACTCTGACCCTACCTCAGGTACAAAAAAGTTAGAGTTAATATATATATATATATATATATATATATATATATATATATATATATATATATATATATATATATATATATATATATATATATATATATATATATATATACATATATATATATATATATATATATATATATATATATATATATATATATATATATATATATATATATATATATATATATATATATATATATATATGATTTTTTGGTTGAAAGTTGTCACCCACAAACCAAAAACTCGAACTTACCATATGTGCGTATGAATTAAAACTTTAAACAATTTCATGATTGTTATTTTTTATTTTTTTAATAGGTGAGTAATTGTGTAGTTTTTAAGCATTTAATAGTTTATACATCGTACACTTTAAATCACAAATAAATATAAAATTACAAACTTATATAACAACTCTACGTACGAAAAGCTACTGTATATATTAACAAATTTTGTGTAGTATTCAGCTTAATTAAAGTGTAATATACAATTCTTATGCTTTGTTAGACAAAATAAATCTATGCTGGAGGTTTTCTTTCTTTTTACGTTTGTCAAAAAGATCTTAAAGAAACTTTATTTCTTGGTCTGAACACTGATTTGTTCTGTGAATTTCCAGACTCGATGGTTTCTGATTCTCATACCTTTTCGCTGGGTTTCAAGTACTTTCTTGATTGTGCAAGTTGCTACGTAGCATCCCATAATCATATAACTATATTCTTCATCCATTACTAGGCAAAAAACTTGATCAAGAAAATGATATTGACAACCAATGAATTTTTGTTCTTCTTGTTTCTTTTTAGTTAAACGTCTTTGTAACTGGCTGACAATCCCATCCCTACTTCCAGTGTTTACATTCGTAGTGTCTGCAGCAATCATATTTATACTCTTCCATAAATTGTATTCATTGAGAACAGCTGTACATTAACAACAGTATTTGCTTTTCCATCTGTCTATCTAGTACTTGTAGCTAAATTTCTTTTTGTTTCAACACTTGATTACTAATACCATTGTGACGTTTACCATCAAAATGCAGTGACCAGTTTTTTAAATATAGTGTTTTCTTTATTTCTTCTTTAAGTTTAAGATCTTCTTCAATAGTTGATTTGAATATACCAGAATGTGAAAGTGTCTGAATGTCAATCCCATCTTGAGATAACTGTCAACAAATGCTCACTGCTTTGCTGGTTGATAACTTCGAAGATGTTACTAATTTGGTTGCAGTTTTGGTTTAGCTATAGTTCTTGCTGGTATTTGTGGAATGTGCTTCTAAATCTTCAGACTCTTGATATTCAGCTTGAGACTCGGATTTGAAAGTTAACGTTGTTTTGGTTACTGTTGTTAAAGTAGGCTTCAAGTACATTTTCCTTTTTTTGGATGAATGGATAGTTTTTTTTATCTAATTAAATTAATTTACTTAGTTTCTAAATTTTGTTTACTATTATTATTATTTCTGTCTTCATCTTTTTTAGTTTTTTTATAGCAGCCTTTTAAGTTGTATACCCAACTTTGCCCTTTACTTTCAATCTAAAGATGATATATTTCACTATCTTTTCTTGTTGTTTTAAAAACTTGATGCATCGTATTTTCTTTGTTTCACACATTTATAGTACAATTTCAGTACTTGATCCAGATTTGCTTGTACGACTTGTACTCAAAAACATGGAAAAAATTTATTTTTGCCATAAACTTGTTATTTCTTTCTTAATTTGGTTTATGCCTTCTCGTCTTCCATTGATAGATTCTCGAGGAACAGATAGCGACCAACAACTTGGATTTTGAGTAGTATTCTACTGCTATCATCCAAGTAAGGAGACTTGAAAAAATTATAAAATGTTAGGTAGGTTGTGTAAAGTGTAGGAGCTTTTAGGGAGGTAAAGGTTACTCAAAAAAACGTACATCAAAATGCGGGAGGAGAGGTGGGAGGGTTAAGGAAAGGGGAGACTATGGATGTGTCAAATAAAAACGTACACACTTTAGCAAATAAACCCAAATTGCCCATTAGACCAACAACACCCCATTCTACCCAAGTAACATGCTGTATGTATTTTCGGCGCCTGAAACAACTAAAAATGTTTTTTTTTTAACTTTATATTTTGAGTTTAAAGTTTTTAATATACATATTTTTTATTTACGTAGGTCTCCTACAATGGCTGGAGGGCTTTTTGCAATTGATAAATCATATTTTTATGAGATTGGTAGTTATGATAACCAAATGGAAATATGGGGTGGAGAAAACTTAGAAATGTCGTTTCGGGTAATAGAAAAAAATAAAAAAATACATATTTTATTACCAGTTGCTAAACGCATTGTTATTATAAAAAAAATTTTTTTTTTCATATAATTTTAGATTTGGATGTGTGGTGGAAAACTTGAAATAATACCTTGCTCGCGGGTTGGTCATATATTTCGAAAAGAAAATTCTCCCTATTCTTTCCCGAATGGAGTTTCTAAAACACTAGCTAAAAATTTCAACCGACTTGCTGAAGTGTGGATGGACGAGTATAAAGAATTATACTACAGGCAATTATTTTTAATTATTAGGAATTTTTTTGTAATTAGGTTTTGCAGTCCTCTTTGTTAAATGGGTGATTAATTTGCTTGTTTGAAATTAATTAAAGCGTTGGTTTAGACGAAAACCACCAGAAGATAAGTTAGTAAAATATGGAGATATCAGTGAAAGAGTCGAGTTACGAAAAAAACTAGGATGTAAATCTTTTAAGTGGTATATTGACAACGTTATTCCAGATATGATTGGCGCAGATCCCAATCCGCCAGCTCACGGAGAGGTAATATTTTAAAATTCTCTTTCAAAGTAGCCGAGCACGTTTTGACGCCAATATGTTCTCACACTCATTACGTCATAAAGAAATTTGTTAAATGGTAATAAAAAAATATTTTAGGTTTGTAACGTTGCTATTAAACTTTAGGTTCGTAACGTTGCTAGCAATATGTGTCTTGACTCAATGGGTAACAAAGGAAATAGAGCACAAATTAAAGTTTTCCCTTGTCACAGACTAGGTGGCAATCAGGTAAAAATATTTACACAACCACATCATCATAAACTACAATTATTTAAATTTTTTTATTTTATTTTATTGTTTACATTTGCTAATCGTTGTACTGCTTTAAATAACCAATAATAAAAATAATAATATAAACTTAAAATGATACAAAATTGCAAGGTAATAATCTTTAGAAAGATAAAGAGGATCTTTTTATCATAATTAAAAAGTAAAAAGTATAAAAACAATTAATAAAATAAGTAGGAATAAACTTCTATAAACGTAAGCATGTATATAAAAAATTAAAAAAGTATACCAAAATATATTTTTAACTTTTACTACTCAATATCTTTCATTTAATACTTTTACTCAATATGTTATTTTATCTCAATACATTATCTTAACTCAATATATTATCTAATGAAAGCATGAGGTTTTTTAGTTTTTTTTAAAAAAGGAAAAAAGTAATAGGTACTTCAAAATTAAAATTTGGGAAAACAATTTAATTCCAAAGGTGTGGCGCTCGATAAATAAACACAAAATTAATTAAAGTTTGTTTGACAAAAAGGTTCATTTAAAAAGTTATTATTTCTCAAAATACTGATAATTTACTGATTGGTTTAAAAGAGAAAAGATCTTTGAAGACAGCTAAGGATAAGTTATTTATCCTCATATATACAAAACATAAAATATTAAATACATTTAACTCGAATATATTCAGAACTCTCATTTCAATAAAATAATGCTTCAAATGAGAGAAGCGATTTGCAAAAATGACTATAACGATTGCACGTTTCTGACGCAGATAAAGACTTACATTTTTTCTGTATTTCTAAAGCAATATTGGCATAAGTTAAATAACTATGTATAAATAAGTAACAAAGTTGGATTAAGACTTTCTTATTGAGATAGATTTGTGATTTATATAGGATCCCTATGTTTTTAGAAAGTTTTGTGCTTATATAATCAATATGGTGGTTCCAAGTAATGTTTTCATCAAGACGAACACCTAAAAATTTTGTAACAAAACCTCTTTGTTTTTCTTTTTGATCAATAAAGATTTGAGGTAATTTTGATGGGAGAAATCGCTTTTTTATAATCGAATGAAATAAAACCCATTTTGTTTTATTAGTGTTTAAGGTTAACTTATTACACTTGAACCAATTAGATATATGTCTAAGTTCTTTGTTCACTGTTTTAAAAAATTCAGTGATATCATTCTTAGAAAGGAATAAGTTTGTATCATCTGCATACATGATCCTCGTTAGTTTTAAAGCTTTATTTAAGTCATTTAAATAAATTAAAAAAAGGAGAGGTCCAAGAATTGAAATTTGTGAGACTCCACAGGTTATATCAAGAAAAGTGGGTTGATAATCATTGTTACATAGTACAAGTTGTTTTCGGTTAGATAGATAACTTTTAAACCATTAAAAAATTTTTTTTTTATTCCGTAGTATTTGAGTTTATAAATTAAAATATGGTGATCAACCATATTTTGATTTATAAACTTTTGATAGGTCAATAAAAATTCCTAGTCTGTATTGTGATTTTTCGATTGATTTTGAGATTACATGTACAAATTGGATAACTGTATGTTCAGTTGAGTTATCTTTCTTGAAACCAAATTGATTGATGTAAAGTAGATTATTATCATGAAAATATTTGTATACTCTGTCGAACATAATTTTTTCTAGAATTTTCGAAAATGCTGAGAGAACAGAGATAGGGTGATAATTGCTGATTTCAGATTTGTCCCCTTCTTTAAAAATAAGAATAATTGTTGAAATTTTTAATTGTTCTGGGAATATTCCTTGATGGATAGAGGCTCTATAGATTTAAAAAGGACAACTTTAAGTTGTTCAAAGCAATCTATAACCACATTTTGATTAACTTGATCTGGTCCAATTGCTTTATTTTTTAAACAGATTTGAAGGCTCTTTCAAACTCATCAAACATTAATTCAAAAGATAACTCATCTAAACAAATACAATTATCCATGGGTTCTAGATAATCAGTGAACAAAGACTTGGTCTTAGAGATTTTTTCAGGCAGTGTTGGTCCTATATGAACTTTTGTTATCGACTCTAACCATTTGTGGCAGAAAACCAGAGCATGATTTTTTTTTTGCCAATATTTTCTTTCATTATTTGCCACGTGCGTTATGTGTCGTTTTTAAATGTATTGAATAGTTGGGTGAATTGAACAACTAAGAATATCAATTCTTAGTTGTTATTATTTTTTCTACTATTTTAAAATGAACTTCATAAACAGAAAAAAACGTTTTGAAAAATGTTTCATAAATATTATTTGCTTTATCATCAAAATTTATGTTTTTCCAATGCAGTAATGATAGTTGGTCTTTAAATTATTTAATATTAGTCTCATTATAAATGCGTTTTCTCACTACTTTTTTGATATTGTTTCTTTCTGGGTTTGTTTTATTAGGTTTTAGGAATATAAGAAAATGATCTGATATATCAGTTTTTATGATACCTAATTGTATATTATTATTGAAAATATCAGTAGTTATAATATTATATATAAGAGTTGCTGTGTTTATTGCTACTCTAGTGGGTCAAGGTTAAACTAAAAAAATTTTATTTTTTCTAACTTTGTTATTTATATTTTGTGTTTTTAATAATTTTCTTTGAAAATGTTTTTATTGTTCCGTTAAAAATTGTTCCAATAAAAACTACTACAAATAAAATTATCGTTCCAATAAAAATTTGTTTTTATTGTTTCGTTGTTTGCCTTATTTTTTTTTATCCTTCATTTTCTTATATCTTTTAATCTCGTTTTAACTTGTATAAACGTTTATATTGACTCAACTTTTGTTAAACCGATATTTTTTATCATTAAAGTTGTTGCTGTAAAATATACAGAGCAGATAGCATAATAGCGAGCAGAGAAAACACCCTACTATAAATAACCAGTTTTAAAAATATTCGTTCTGAATTTTATCCTCAATCAGTGATAGACCATCTAGTCTAATATTAAAAGATAATTGAGTAGAAAGTTACTTGCTCGGGAAGTTCGTTCCAGTATTTTGCTGATCTATTATATAGTTGGTTGTGTCTTAAAAGACAGTTTGGAACATACTCACGCTTTATTTTAAGATGGTGATCACATGACAAGAAGTTGATAAATTTTGGTTGATCTATACTATTAGTTATATCAAATCGATGTATAAGTTTAAAAGTTTGCGCCGAGACTCAAATGATGGTACATTTAGTCTTTTTAGTTTTTCATAGTATTGAAGTTTTCTCAAGCTTAAAGTCCATTTTGTTGTTTTACGCTGAACAGGCTCAACCAAAGCACGTCAGTTTTTAAAAACGGGGGCCAAACAGACACTGCATATTCAAGGTGTGGTCTTATAAACGCTTTATATAATCTGAGAGCCATTGTTTAATCAATGATGGTGAATGTCTTTTTTAGCATACCAAGAATTTGTAAAAATTTGGAGACAAATGATTGAATATGTGTGCTCCACTTGAGGTTAGATGTAAAAATGACTCCTAAATCGAATCCATTAGTCGAGCTTCTCACACTTTTATTTATACCTTGGTTATTTTGCATAAAGTAACTACACATAGGATTGGTTTTAACATAGTGGATAAAACAGCATTTTGAGATGTTTAATGTAAGTATCCAAGTGTTTTACTCGTATACTAAGGGGCCATCCATAAAGTACGTACGCAGGTATGGGGAGGGGGAGGGGGTTTCCCAAAAGCGTACGAACGCGTACAAGGATGAGGGGGGAGAGAGGAGGTGTTAAAGACGTACACGGTTTGACTATCCTAAAAATGATTTTATTTTTTATTAAAAAAAAACATTGAATTTCGTGTGTGTAACATAATAGAATTATATTTTTCTTTCTAACTTCAATTAAAATTTTTTTAAATTCTTTATGTGAGAGAAAAAATAAATCGAGTTTATTTTGAAAAAAAAAATAATGCGTAAGTACGCGGAGGGGGGAGGTCTTCAAAAGCGCACAGGTTCGTACAAGGAAGAGGAGGAGGGGGTCCTAAATCAGTTAATTTACTGCGTACGTACTTTATGGATGCCCCCTAAGCGTAGACGATCCTGCAGATCAACGAAATTAGTCTGCGATAAAGTTTTAGAAAAAAGTTTTGTATTGTCGGCAAATATTTCAGAGGTTTCAGTAAGTTAGGCAGCATCGTTTGTAAAAGAATAAAGAGAAGCGGAACACCACTAAGAACATCAACCTAGACAGAGCTAATATTGTTAATCGTAACGCGTTGCTTTCTACCTACTAAAAAGGGATTAAGCCATTGTAGTAGTTTGACGTTTATTCCGAATGATTTTTATTTGAATATAAGTTTGTTGTGAGGTACGGAATCAAAAGCTTTAGCAAAGTCGAGGTAGATTACATCTATAAACTGGTGCGATGCTAGAGAAGACAAAATAATATCAAAAGTTGCTATTAGATTGGTTACGCAAGATTTATGATGAAGGAAGCCGTGTTGATTTGTAGAGAGCAGATAGTTATTGTTAATGTGTTTCAAGATTTTAATCTAAACAACCTTTTCGAATATTTTTCACGCAATCGAAGTTAGCGAAATAGGTCGATATTTTTCAGGAAGTAGTTTGTCTCCCTTTGTTTAATAGACCGAACTAATATTTGCTAATTTCCAGAGAGTTGGTACTATTCCAGAATTAAAAGATTTATCAGGTCCGAAAGATTTGTAAGGGTTTAGATCGGTAAGTTAATTAATGTTTGCAATAGAGAAATCTAAGCTGTTTTAACTTAACTAAGTTGTTTTAACTGTTTCGGTTTAACTTCACTTTTATATAACAATGGAAAATTTTTGGAGCTTTCAAGAGTAAACATAGAATTGAATTGAGAGTTCAGAAGTTTAAGTATATCGAAAAGAGTTTCAGTAATTTCCTTTGAAACATTTTTGAGAGAACGAACTTATCTTGAATTTTTAGTTGGTTGTTAATATATTTTAACGAATTTTAAGTTAGTTGTTAATGTATTTGTAGACGAGTTTTAGGTTGTTCTGATATTATTATTTCTTTTTTGTGTAATAATTTTGTTTTAAATATTTCAGCTTTTACGGAACGATTTTGAGATCTTTATTCTTCCATTTAATTGAGCAGTTGATATGCCAAGCCGATTTTCTTGCTCGGATTAAAATTAAGCTTTTAATATTCGGAATATATGGAGTATAATATATTCTTTTACTATTTAAATGATGGTTTTGTAAAATATATCCATTGCACCGCTGTGCTTTTATGGGTTGTCGTTAGAAACATATATAAAATAATGTATAATAAAGTTGTGGTTGTAAAATAACTTGCAGAAGAATAAGAAAAGTCTTTTCATCGAGAACCTTGAGAATATAAAATAAGTTAAAACTTATAAAACACACATATATAACTTAAGCCGCGTAATAGACCTCAAATCGAAGTCTACTAGTAGTATTATATTAAGTGTTGTTAATAAAGTTGTTAACTTTATTTTTTTTTATATAACTAGTATAATAATGAAATAATATATATATATATATATATATATATATATATATATATATATATATATATATATATATATATATATATATATATATATATATATATTAAATTAAAGTTAACAACACTTAATATAACTATTATAATTTTTTATTTTATTTTTTTATATTATCTCTTGTATACTTTTAGTTTTTTGTACTAAGTAAACGTGGAGAGATAATACATAATGATGAAAGTTGTCTCGATTATTCATTGGAAAACGAAGAAAACAAAGTAGATATGTGGAATTGTCACGGATTGGGTGGAAATCAAGAATGGATATACACTAAAGATGTATGACTCATATTCAATAAAGAATTTATTAAGAAATGATTATTTAGTTGTTATATGCGTGTGTGTGTGTGTGCGTGTATATATATATATATATATATATATATATATATATATATATATATATATATATATATATATATTTATTACCACATTAGGGCCGTATCCAGCATGTAATTTCTTCCAAATGTTTAGCAATACTCAATGATGATCTAACAGTTCAAGATTGTGATAAGCAAAATATAAATCAAATCTGGAGTTTTGGAAGTTATGGAAAAATGACTTGGTAAGAGACCTGCTTTCTTTTATTGCTGTTTGCAATAATAGAAATAAACTATGAACAAGTTTGATGAGAACACGCTGAGAATTTGAAAAATTCTCTTATGCAGCAAAATCAGAAACGTAAATAAAATGTACTATTCAGGACACTGGATACATAAACGTTTTGAAGAAGCGTTGCTATCACAATCGTTATCATCGTATTTTCTTTTGTTGTCATCTCGTTCAATAGAATTATTGTGCAACAAATCCAAAGTTTTCAAGTACTGTTCGTGACTAAGCAGACCTGAACACAACTCATTTGCCGAACAAAATTTGTGAAGCAAAATGCAAATGTAGCCTTCAGTTTCACGCTGAAAAATAAAGTTTAATCGCAAAATTATAACATTTTATTATATATAAATATTATAATAAATAATTTGAAAATTGTTAATACATCAAATATTATAAAAGTATGCGTTGATGCCGTCGAAAAATATTTTGAGATTTTAAACATTTAATAAAAGAAAAATATTTTTAAAATTAATTTAATTTTTTAAATTTTAAACTATTACTTTTCTTTTGAATTTCATTTTTTTTTTTTTTACAATTGAGCAATTGTAGTCATTTTTAAACCATCACAAAGTAATTACATTAATACAAAATTTTGCAAATTCTTTTACAACTACGGGGTTATTTTTAATGGTATTTCAGGGTAATTATTAATACTTTTTCTGATTTTAAGAAAAAGCATTAGCAATTACCCTGAAATAGCATTAAAGCGAAGTTTGAACATATTGAGGTCATTTTTATGAATTTTTATTTTATTTTTACAGTACATGTAAAAATAAAATAAAAATTCATAAAAATTGTTTATGTCTAAAAAATGACCCATTGATTGCTCTCATTGCTGCTAGAGACTTATAATTTCCAGCGGCTCTAAATCCAATTTTATAAACAGTTTGTGTTAATGTATCATAATTTTATTAATATTTCATACAGGTTTTTGCATAAAATATTATAGAACGCGTATAAATTAAAACAAGATATATGTAAATAATATTACAATCAATGTGAATCTTGTAATTATAAAAAAATCATAATATATCTTTTCTCCAGGAAAAATATAAAACAATGATTTTAAATTTACCAGCAAGCTCAATATCAATTTTTTTAAATTTCTTTTTTATTCCTCTACAGAAATATATGTAAAGTATACATTTAAAGTATATATAAAAAATAATTAAAAATTTGAAACAATCATATAATATAAATAATATAAAAAATAATTAAAATTTGACACAATCAACTCATATACTTCAGTGACTACACAAAAACATTTTGAGATTTGAAACTCTCTTGATATCATTTACTTTTACGTTGCTACTTTAATAGTTATCAATCATAGTCTAAAATTTTAAATGCATAAAAGTTTATATTCTTGAGACATCAGAATATGATATTAGGGTAAAAAATGTTAACTGCAGGTTTTTTTTTTTTTAGTTTAGCTAAGTTGACGAAGGTAATGAAGGTGAATCTTGTACAGATTAATAATAATGAAAGAAAATTCTAAGTCTAATTGATGAACTAGTAAGTCTAAATCACAGCTAATTTAATTGATTTTAATATAAATAAGTTTTAATTTATTCTTATAATGCTAAAAGACAAGCTATTCAGAAAAATACAAAAATATGTTAAATAGTAATTTAGGCAATTGTCTGTTTTTTTTTTCATTAAATTACAAATTTGTTGTGCAAAACAAAATTTAGAAGTATAGATTGGAACAAAATTTTAAAAAACAATGCCCTTTAACATTATACAACATGTTTTGTATCTGATGGCTTTATGAATTGTGTAAATTGCTATATTGTGTGATAAAGTAATAAAGTAATGTAATAAATTGAGCATCATAAAAACAATTTTGAATACGATGCGATTGCCAATATAAAAAGCATATATATTTAATATATGTATATGTAATGTATGCATATTATATATTTAATATATGTATATGTAATGACAACATTAATATTTAGCAAACAATTTCAACATTACCATTTTTAAACAATTTTTAATTTATTGGTAGCAATGATAGAAATAACTTTATAAAAGCATCGTATGTATTATAGTAACAGGGTTCGAAAAAAACATACATTATAAAAGTCTCGCCAGTTACCAAAATCAACAGCTGGTGGTTAAAAAAAAAAAAAAATTTGAGCTTCTTAGGTAAATTAATAAATGTGATTTAAAAAAAAGAGCTATTACATGAGACAATTATGCTCCTAATATTTCAACCTATTTAAAGTTAATGAAGCTGCACATTTTTATCATAACTTGATAAAAAAATGTTAGAAATAATTTGTTAAATAGAATTTAATTTGTTTTCCAGCATTTATTTTTTGTAAAATTTTAGATGTTTTTGTCAAATCTGGTAATATTTTATATAAACTGTTGCACAATGTTTTAATGGAGCTGTTATAGTTGCTATAAAAAATTTTTTAAAACTGTTTTCAGGTAACCTGTAACTATTTAAGGCAATAAAAAGTCCGAATTTCTGTGACACACAGTTGTATGAACCTAACTACGTGCAATGGCACACAATTGCATAAAGTTTAAAATTGTTAAAACCTCACCCTATTAGCTAAAAACTTTTCCGCTTTAAAAAGTTATTTTAATGCTAAACATCTTTTATAGAGGATCTTTCATATGATAGCACTAACTTTAATTTGACTGCTCATTTCCTTATTGAAAAGCGTTTATGCCAATACCAACAAAAGAGTGTTGGGAGATTTCTGGTTAAATAGATATTTTATGAAATGTAAAATATATATATATATATAAATATATATATATATATATATATATATATATATATATATATATATATATATATATATATATATATATATATATATATATATATATATATATATATATATATATATATAGTGAATAAAAAAATATTAGTAAAAGTGATATCATAGATACCAAGAAAAAAATGTTCAAAAAAATTATTAAATAAAATACATTTAACTTTTAAAACAAATATACAGTCATATAAATTTTATGAAAATGTGATGCATGCTGGCTATTTGATGGTTTTATATATATTTCTTGTGTTTTTGATCAATTGTTTTAAACTGCAAGACATGAAAGCAGCTAAAATTGTTCTCAATTTTTGAACAAAACATCAAGCATTTCTATACTTCACTCACTGGATTATAGAAAATGAACTTGTTTTATTTCCATAATCTAAATTTCTAAAATGTTATTCAACAATATCCAAAATATATCACTGACTCAATAAGTCAATTTTTTTATTGAAAATATTTATAAACTCTTTTGATAGCATTGATGATAGCATGATGGAATTGACTAAATTGGTGTCATATAAAAAATCCTCTATAAGAGATGCTTGGAATGAAAATGGCTTTTTAAAGCTGAAACATTTTTAGCTGATAGGGTGAGGTTTTCATAACTATAAACTTTCCCAAACTTCAGGCAACTGTGTAAAAATACCATTTTACTTCCAATATGTTTTTATTTTATTTTAAATTTGCTCTTTTCCAGAATAATTTGCTTTTTTTTATTAGCTAATTTCTAGAATAATTTATTTTAAATCTATTTCTATACAATTTATGTATACACTTTTATCTGGTCTGAGTTCCAATTCATTATGTGATTATAACTTTTTTAAATCATATTTCAATTTCTATTTATTTTTTATATCTTTTATATATACATATTTCATAATATCATATTTCATATTATATTTCAATATTATATATATTTAACCTAATAAACCTATTTAATTCTAATATTAGGAATTAATGAATAAAAACACTTAAATTAACAACATTTATAGTTTTTTTCTTTAAAAAATGTTTTTGTGTTAATCTTCTATTTTCAGAACAGATAGGAAATATTACTTCTGAACTTTTATATTACTTCTTACTTTTGTGTATTAAACTACATTTGTGTATTAAACTATGTTTGTGTATTAAATTACATTAATTATAATAAATAGTAAATATCATAAAAGACTGTATTTAATCCAAAGTTTGATGTTTTTGTGAATGTAACTGTAATGACCTAAATAAATACTCTTTTAGTTTTTTTCTGAAAAATGTATGATGACCTTTATTTTAAGTAAACCATCTTTAATGATGACCTATATTTTAAGTAAACCATGAACTATTTGAACTAAATACTATATATATTCATTTTAAGTAAACCATGAAATCAATAAATAACACCACAATTAAGATTTTGCAACAAAATTTATTAAGTTCTTTGTTGCAACAAGCCACAATAAATTGAAATAAAACAAAAACAAAAAAAATTTGACGCGACATTGTAGGCAGAGAAAAACATAAACAAAATTGTTTTCAATTGTTGACAATTAAAAAGATTAAAAACAAGCAATACATTGTTAATTTTGAAAGAAAAAACAAAACACTTTTTTACTAATTTTTATTTTTACTAATTTTCAATTTTTAATCTAATTTTTCAAAAAATTTATACCTTGTTTATCATAATATTTATACCTTAGTTATCAAATTTTTCAAAAATTACCTTGTTTATTGTTTATTAAAACTCTCTGTTTTGGAATTTATGAACAAACTAGAGTAATGGCCTTGAGGAAATGAATTGAAATAATAACAAAAAAAAAATCATTAAATTCTAAGATGGTGTCAAAAATATGCTGAATTAACAATTGTTAATAGTTAATAAAAATTTGATTAACAAATGATAATATCAGAACTAATGTTACCTTTCTATCTAGAAGAGAAATGTCTTGAAGTAGATTGTCATTAATTTCCATTAGCCGTCCAACTACACCACTTAAAAGCAAACACCAATTATAAAGAAAAAACCATTTAAAAGTGAAGAATTCAACAATACTCATCAGGAAGTGTAAAAACAAACCATTTTATTTTATACTCTGTCCCATTAGCTGATGTTATTTTGCAAATAGGTGTGTTAAGAGTTACTTTGAATGCATTTTTCTTCTTTTTTCCATGTGCGTCATTGTATTTATAATCTCGATTTCCTATATTATAACTGATTGACTGAACAGGGCCTTCTAATAATGCCTTATGATCTTCCGCTAATGTCACTATACAGATTCTAAATAAAAAAAATGTTAATAATTTATAATAAATCTTTATTTATATAACAATTTGCTTATATAATGTTAAAATATAAAATAACTAAATTCAAAAAAAAAAATACTTTAATGAAAAATCAAACTTAATATAATAATACAATAAACCTATTTGAATGGCTAAGAATACAAGTGTGACCATTATCATTGTCTAAAAGAATAAAAATTAGAGATAAGATTATCACTGTCTCAAATAATAAAAATTATAGATACAAAAATCCAATGTAATCTCTAATAGCAAAATAATAAAAATTAATTGAAATTTACCTTTAAAATAATACTTAGTGAAGTATCTTTCAACGAAAGATGGGTAATTTTTATTGTCCATAAAAATTTTATATATATATTTATATATATCTATATCTATATATATCTATATATATATCTATATATATCTATATATATATATATATATATATATATATATATATATATATATATATATATATATATATATATATATATATATATATATATATATATTTGTAACTATACTATTTGCTATTTTTAATCATTAAACATTATAAACTACATTAAAACTAGCTTTGTTTTCTATTATATTAACATGCCTGTTATAATTGTTACATATCTGGTATGTATTTGGTACATATTCTGGTGTATATAAGTGATTCTTAAAACAACACTTTAAAAAATATACTTACTGGCGACCTTAATGTGTTCTATATAATTAAATACTCATTAAAAATTTTTTTTTAAAGCTAATACAAGATTCTCAAGCATATAAGGGTTATTTTATAATATTATATATATATATATATATATATATATATATATATATATATATATATATATATATATATATATATATATATATATATATATATATATATATATATATATATATATATATATAAAAGGTAACTATCATATTACAGGGTGTACAGTCAAAATTTAAAAAAACTTCAGCACTTATTACTTCATTTAGATATGTTTTTCCAGGATTTTGGTCCTAAAACCCATATTTTTTTCCAGCATCAGTATTGAAAAAGCACTTAAATTCCAGCACTTATGATATTAATTTGACTTAAAGACTTATAAACATAAATATATAGTTTAAAACTAAATATTAACTATTACATAAATTTATTTTAAAAAAACTGTAATAAATTAAAAAATCATTAACACTTAACTTCTATACTCAACATTATTGAGAAATATATATTCATTATACATATTGAAACATTTATTATATTCACGAGAATATTAATTATATATAGTTCTGGTGTTGAGTATAGTAGTTATAGTGCTAATATAGCGAGTTCGATGTTTCACAACAAATGTCATCTGTCTTACTATAATTGCAAGTAAAAAAATGTCGTGTAAAAACTTGATTGTGAATTTATGTTTCGAATGGAGCTAGTACAGTAGTAGTTACCTTGTTGAGCAGAAGTTAAGAGGATAGAAAAAAGAACCAGTAACAGAGTTATTGTCTTCTCTCCTAGCAGGACTATCATGTAAATTATAATGAACAACATTCAAAACCTTCAGATTCCATTCTATGACAGCCTCTCCAGTTTTTAAACTGCCATAGTCAATATGCAAACTGCAATT